GTGATTTATTTCTATCTGAAGGCCTTGGTGGGCTACAGGTCTGTCCTTCTTTATTCTCACCAATCTGTGCACCATGCTAACCTTGTCAAGGTGTCAACTAACTATGAGCGGTCTATCATACTGGCTCCCCTTCGCTATAGGCTCGAAGCATCTGTTACACCAATACCAAGCTTGCCGCCTGGCCATTTCATCACAGGGCTTGTTTCCCATCAGAAGGTAGGTGAAGCTTCATGAACTAGTTCGAGCAATAGCTAAGCAGGTGACAGACATACGGAACCCGTTTTATCCGAGTCGGTATCCAGTCCCAATTCTGTGACGAACCATCCACAATTCCACACATCTTAGACCGAGAATGTCATCTGGTGCCGGATAATGAGATTCGTTACGACGAGAAATTCTCCCATTTTATTAACGGCAGCAATTCAGATAGCTATCAAAGTTATGCATCACTAAAGGGAATCCGTAAGATTCAGGCATCTGCTGGCATATCGGGTTGGTCCCGCCCGCAAAGTGGCATCTCTGGCCTGAAGCTTGAGTATTACAACCATCCCAGTCCAGCCATTGTTGGACAGTGGATGAACGAACTTGAAGATTGTTTTGATATATCACCGGACGAGGATATCCAATCAGTCACCGTGTGGATCGCTCCTCTGGGCTATTCTTCCGAGTCTCCGGGGTTGGCAGTGGGTCAAGTCGCAGTTATACGCTTCGAAACAACAAGTGCGCGCAGTGTGACTTTCCGTTCCCCGTACTCTCATACCTTTCCCACTGGAATGATACGAAATGAATATCAACGTTGCTTCGATGAGGAACTAACAGCCATCTCATGGATCTTCAACGAGTCTTCGGACCGCGTCCGAGCAGTGAATTCTCCCCACAAAAACTGGAGGCCTCGACTACTTGTCCCAGAAGTCTCTCCTCCTATGAACCTGGTGCGGAAGCTCTACTTCGAGACGTGGAATGACAATACCTGCCCCGAAAAGGTAGTCACCATCGAAGCCTACTTTCGAGGCCGCGCAATCATTGGACTGCTCTTCGTCTATAGATCAGGTGTCATGGCAAGCACGGGCGATTTAGACACCGACTCTCGCCAGGCCGTTCATATTGCGCGGGATGATAATATAGTCGGCATGTCAGCTACAGTCGCAGGATCGGAGCTGGTTGAGATTGACTTCGAGGTCGAGCACAACGCATCGCCCAAAAGTCAGAGGCTTAGTCTCGCCTTCGAACCACCGTATACCCCGGAAACAGCTGTGGATTATGAATGGCGAGATGTATGGTGTAAGGATAGGGCAGCTGTAGAGTGCACTACCCTGCAGCGCGGGAGCGACAAGGTATATGCGGCCCCGAGCAACTCGAGACTTATGGGAATCTACATTGGGTGCCAAAGATTCAGTAACGTGGGAGCAATATACGAGCCAGATAGTTTTCATTGATGACAGAGATTCAAGCTTCTTTCAAGTGAATACTAGGTGCCAATTCAGTGTGCCAGAAATCCAGATGTTGAAGTAAAGCTTTCGGGTCCAGAGCCATTCAAGATGCTATAATGTAACTCACCGTCTCAGAATGGATATATCTCAACTAGTATAGTATAGATTTCTCTAGATATTTATATATAAATATATCAGATATCAAAGTTTTTATAAGAAATCTTATATACTTGAATTTTATGGATATAATAGGATACTGTTTCACTACTTGAAATATTTATATATTATTTGTATTCTATTGGAACGGTTTAGAAATGCAAAAAGAAAGAAAAAAAAAAAAAAAAAAAAAACCCTCAAAATTATTCATTATCTCTATTATCTTTAGACTTGATACTCGGCTCGCAAAAGACCAGTTTTGTATGGCATAACATGGGTGGTCGGCGCGGCCGGGAGTTAGCACGTTAACAGGTGGTGGAGTCTAGCAATGTGACTACTCGTCTAGTCCACACACTAACAAGGATCATGAAGCACTCGTCGGTATGATGCCCCAGCAATCTGCCTTGCTACTACTACGTTCTAATTGAAGGGAAGTAAATGGCTACGCTGCTCCATCCACCCCGCCTTGACTCGCACAGTGCACGATGTCCCGAATGCAGCCTTACCCAGCTCAGTATTTGCTCTTGTGCGCGCCAATCCTAGCAGCATCTAAGTCCGAGCACTTCTTTTCACTCGCCCGAAGCCATGATAACGAGTCATTGGTCATACCAGAAGTGGGCGCTTAACAACTCCGCACAACTCGAACGGCGTAGCAGATATGGCCCCCAGACCAAACACAAGACACGAAACACCAGAGCTAGCAGACCATTAGCCGCCGAGCCACCCAAGAGGGAACACTAAAGAACCATGCTCTAAAAACAAGCCATCTCCATCTTTTTCAAAAACGATCATTACCCTCCATGAAACTCAATCAATTATCCCAGTCTGTTTCCCCTCCCCAGACTGCCCCTACCCCTACATCACCTGCCGTCTGCCTCCCCTAGCAAAGAGCAACAGCAACATCACAATGTCCAACGACAGCAACAGCAACGACCTCGCCCCTCCATTCGGCTACCCCGTCCGCCGTAACGGCACCTGCTACGACACTGAAAACGACTGCGGTTCAACCTGGGGTCCCTACCGCGAATGCTGTCCCAAGGGCGCCACCTGCGCCCCCGGGAACTGCTGTCACTCTGCCGCAGCATGTGGCAACATTCTCAAACTGGATCCGCATTGCGGGAATACCTCGGCCCTTTTGTATTATGAGAATGATTACTTCTGTTGTTCGAGAGGGCTGGATGCGTTTGCGAGGGTGTCGAATGGGTTCGTGGGCTGTACGGATGATGTTTCTACGTTGGGGTCGGAGTTTAGTTTGTTGTCGCCGGTTTCGACGACGAGTTCGTGTACGTTTTTGATCTTTCCTGCTGCTGCTTAACTTGATGGATTGAGACTAATTGGGAGTAGCTACATCTGCTACTACGTCTGCTACGGTGACGTCAGGTGCATCTTCGTCTACATCGACAGCAGATACTAGTAGTCTATCGTCGTCGATAATATCATCGGCGACTGCGCAACCTACGACAAATGCATCTTCAAATACAGAAAGCAAAACGAACACTGGCGCCATCGCAGGCGGAGTAGTCGGTGGTGTCGCCGGCTTAGCGCTCATTATATTCATCATCTGGTTTATGATCTCGAGAAGGTTACAGGCCGCACGGAGACATGCGGATGATGATGATATGCCTTCGACATACATAGGCCATCGAACCAAGAACAATCATCCGAGGGAGCTGCAGGGAGATGCGGCCGCTCCATCTGTTGCTGAGTTAGTGTCTGCTCCGCCGGTTTATGAGTTAGGTTCTCGACCTCCTGTTTATGAGTTGGGGTCGAGGCCGCCTGTTTTTGAATTGGCGGGGGGTGTGGATGGGGGGAGGATATGATTATGTTGATGAGTGGAATCACTTATTGTATATATTGCATACTTTTGCTTGTGACAACCTTTGAACCAAGCATGATGATTTTCCTAATCCTACCAAGTGCGTAGAAGACATGTCACTTTCCGTATCTAGCATCTCTGAATACAAATCCTGAAGCACTGGACTAAGCTTAGATTTGCGATAAGTATGTATTCTTAGCAGACAAAAATTAGTAATGGCTAGTGCACACTCCATCACACTTTAGAGGCGGCCCAGATCATGCTGTCCAAGTACGGCGGTTAATAGCGGCCATCGGGCAAAGGATTTTTTTTGAGATCATGATACAGTGTGTAAACGTCAACATCTTGAAAAGCTCTGAGATATATGCTCTTACTATGTAATCTAAAGCATTCAATGTATGAAGGTGGTGATGACGTTAATTCAATTGAAAGTGATGGCTGGGATGCTGAAAACAACGCAGGGTCTGTGACTATGAGATAGCAGGTGAACGGTGTCCTGGCTATATCCAGCGTTACTTCTATACACAGTTAGTGGTTGGTAGCCCATGCAGCTGTTAACTAGTAGTCTCCACTCAATGCTGCGCCAGGACCTCATTTCATGGCTCGGGGATTAGAGCGACACTTCGGGGAGATTACGATCGACCTGTAGCCGAGACCCGAACGTTGTTAGTATTCCAGCCTCGACTTTGTGGACGATTACCAGAGTAATAGTATAGCTCTTATATCGTCGCTGTTAAGTCACAGTTAACAAACAAGTATTTCTAGTAAATACATATTAGCAGTATCATACAGCATCGGATACCAAATAAACCTCCGAACAAAAACGGCAACACCCGACCAGGAACAGTAACTAAAACTAACGGATATGCCCTCATCCCTCCTCCCCCTAATTATAGCCGGTCGAAAACTAAGTATCTCGCCCCGCCGGTACCACTACTCATTTCAGTTTAGTTAGTAGTAACTCGTCCACTTGATTATCCTCCTGCTTTTTCAGACTTAGTGTTAGCGACTTTTACAATGCTATTCTATCCCTAATAATTTCTTGCCAGCCCTTTCTCAACTACCCAGCTTAGTACAATATCACAAGCGCCCCAAACATCCAATCGAACCGATACTTTGATATTGAGTGGGCCCCTTTGCAGATCCATTCCAAGTTCAGAGTCTACTTACTCGATAGAGATTAGAGAGACAGAAACTAGCTGATAGCAGCCCCAACGGGGAACATGAAGGGTGGGCCAACCAGCAGGGAGGATTGAGGTCGGTGCTGAGCGGAGTGGCTGCTGTCGCTCCCGTCGGCTTGGGGTGGGCTTGGTTAAGGCTTAGGCTTATGAAGTAGGATCCGATCCTGAGTTGAGTTGGGGTGGCTTGACTGTTAACTTGATGTATGGAGTTAATGACAGGTGGATTTTGTTTCTCATGTAGCATTCATTCTTCTGAGCTTATTATGAGGGACAGGATGTCAAAGCATACATACATAAATGATAGTACAATAAGCAAGTTGTATACAGAACAGAACATCCTCCAACTCCTTCAACACCAGTAACAGAAACCAAGAATAATATCAACATCCAATATCCAAGAACTACCCCCTCAAATACTCAAACCAGATTCCTCTTCCCCCCATCCTCCCTCCCTCCAAACCCACCCTGCACCGTCCTCGGACTCTGTAACTGTAACCGAATAGGCTGCTGTCGTCGGCCTCGAACAAACCGCACCGCACGCAGTATCACCAATACCACCAGTACCAGCAGCGCCAACTTCATCGCAACGCCTCCGTAGCTTCCAGGAAAGGGTCCATCCAAGCGATGATGTGGTAGTAATGCATGATGTGGATGATTGTTGATGTTGTTGTCGGCTGACGCACCAGGCCGTTCATGATGATACCCATGATGGAGAAATGTGCCGTGAGGGGTGTATTTATGCTTATTGTCATCGTCTGCTTTTGCATGTGCATCTTGACCACCATGTTCTGGAACAGGTAAAGGCCCTGGAGGATGGTATTTTTTTTCATCGCTGCCAGATGCGTGGTCGTCATCGGAGTTGCCTTGGAGTTCTAGCCATCGCTCGTAGTCGGTTTTGGGTCGGTCGCGGGCGGTGATGGCTACCATTTTGTATTATGCTTTATTGGCTTGGAGGATATTTTGGAGTTGGGGTAATGATAATCGTGACGATAATGATAGCCAAGGTGTGTGTGTATGTGTGTGGTGTAAAACCAAGCAAAAAATGATAAACAGGTGAGAAGCTTGTCTTGATCAAAGCCAGACAGAAGTGGATGTGAGAGTGAAAGTGGATGAGATTATCATTCGGAAATGAACAACACCAAGAAAGACAAGACAAGAAAAAGACACCCGCCCCGATAAATAAGTTGTCAATGCTTTTTTTCTGGACCGGGATCAGCCAGTCAGACAGAAAAGGCACGAAAATGACTAGACTAGGATGCGACACAGCCTACTAACCACTACTACTTCTACTACTGTTATGTAGGACAGGACAGGACCAAGAGGGGCGATCGCCGCCCATCAAACAGCGCCTAATAAATGGAGTACTGGACCGGGTTCTAGCGCTACGACGTTACTAGATTAGATTCGGAAGTTCCAGGCTACCTAGTAAGTAGCGCCGGGCGTTTCCCCTGAGCTGAGGCGGTTACCTTGAATTCTCGTTAGTTAATTGGTGTATTTTCCGTGGGTGAGACCGGATCAAACTAGACCCTGGACGTTAAGCTATTTTCGTGGGTTTAAAGTGGAACATTTGGAAACACTGGTGGTTCATGTGCGGTGGGTGGTTTGTAATGAACCATTAGGTGTGGATGCTTCGAAAAGAAAAGAAAAGAAAAAGCAAAGGAAACCTTCACAGATGAATTAAATAGAATTAACTAATACGAAACTTTATTGCAATAGGCAACAGACTGAACTCTTTGAAGGACAGTTTAGGTAGACACATTACAGAGTGAACACTTCTTACCTTGTAAGGCTGATTTCTGTTCCCTCCCAATAAATTACGCAATAAATGGCAAGTCACAAGAGGACACTTCCTTGTGCTTGTCTTCCATTCGCTATTCACACACACAGGGTCCATGATCCTGGTTCTGTCCTGGTTCCCGCCAGTCTCACAATTCTTTTTTTGGCTTTCACCGGACGGCACGAGCCGCTATGTCCAAACCCTCCAATCAGGTGAGATGTAGAAGGAAAATTAGGTGCAGGGTTCAGAGGGTCGTGTGCCCATAGTACCCATGTCTTTTTAATGGGCGGGTGGAATATTCGGCTATTCTTGAGCGCTGGCGCTTAGTGCGTTGAAGCGATTGGACATGATCACTGCTTGGTATGTTTCTTCATAATGTTTATATTACACCCGAAGGGATGTCAAAGGCCATTGGAAAGAAGGTAGGAATTGTTGTGCACTGGCGCTAGATTTAATAGCGTTAAGCAGTTATGGAATTACCTTTCTAGTTAATTCGCAACACATCTGTGATGCACAGAAAAGCTCTTGCTGGTATATTTAAAGCACTAGCATACATTGCGAAAATACAGCATTCTGATCAAACAAACAAGGATATCTCAAACATGAACTATAAAAAAACACATTTACCAACTTGACCCAACAAGTTTTAGATCTTCAATCATCTCAAGCAGTCGTGACCTGTCGCTTGGGCGCCGGCACATCGCCGTTATAGTGTACTTTGTAGGCTGTAGTAATCCAGGTTAGCAAGATTTCATGCACAAATAGCAAAGGCAAACTCACTAGTCGGGAACGGGGAGTAGCTGCCATGGTCCTCCCGCATGTATACAGAGAACCCAGCTTCCTGGGGAATCTTCTTCAACTTTCCTTGAGCGCCAGGAGCAGGACGGAGAGTGTCCAGACGGACGACAACCCGCACCATGGCAGTCACCGCAGCCAGGGTGGCATCCTTACCCAGGCCACTCTGAGGGCCAAGGCCATAGTGAAGGTAGGAGTCAAGAGGGCGGTCAAGGCGAACCTCGTCGGGTGATGGGAAGGCCTGAGGGTCACGGTTTGCCTTCGCCTATGTGGTATTAGCGATGATCGTGCTTCAAGACTGGGTGATACGTACCGAGCCGACAAACACCTTGTCACCAGCCTTGACGCTGTATTGGCCGGTTTCATCAGACACGTTGATGTTGTTCTGAGCCTCGCGGTAAATGCCCAGGTTGCCGTTCAGGCGGACAGCCTCCAGGCAAAAGCGGGTGAGCCTGTCATTAGCTTCCGCAGTGTTCTCATTGGCCAGGCGGTTGATCTCCGGGAGATACTGCTGGCCCTCGGTAAGGTAGAAGTGGATTATTTGGGTGAACTATTCCAATGTCAGTGTTGCACATAATAACATGCTGCATAGGAGGCCTACCATTTGAGATTGGGTGTGGACCATCTCAACAGCGGCCGGCAAGATCTGGCCCCAAGTCACATCGGAGACTCCCAGGCCACTCTCCAAGAGGCGCTTGATCAGCTGATCTCCATAGTCCTTCAGGGCATTGTGATCGTCGCGGAAGCTATCGATGATGCCGTGAAGGAAGCCAGGGTGGTTGATGGACTTGACATGGGCTTCCACAACCTTACCCAGCTCCTGGGAAACCGCGCGGGCTGCATGCTGGAGCGGGAAGGACTTGGTAGGATCAACATCAAAGAAGGTGGAATTGAAGACCACCGCCATGATCATGAACATTTCGTGTTCGGTAAAGATGCCGCGAGGATTGCTCTTCGTCTTCAGTGGCAGCGAGAAGACCTTGGAGACGAAATGCACAGGCACGAGGTTTCCGACACTGATCTCGTTAGCATAGTCACTATCTTACGTCGGTTTAGACGACTTACTCCCTTGCAATGTCAACCTGCTTGTTACCAGCAAGCTTGCAAGACTTCTCATTGAGTAGCTTTAGGGTGGCGTCCTCGTAGAATTCCTTGACGCTATTTCTCCACTGCTCATTGTCGAATGACTTGCTCCAGAAGTCGGCGCCCCCCTTTCCGGCATGGATCGAGCTGAGTCCACCCCAGGGCACAGTGAAGTCTTTCTGGCTGTTCAAGACTAATTGCGCGTTGGAGTAGGACAACAGGTTTGGAACAGGCTCCGTGTAGCGGGGTCTGTCATACGAATAGTGGGACTCGCGACCGAGGTTCTTCATGATGTTCCTGTTCTCGGAGGGGATGGTCATTGGGTAGTGCGCGTAGATGGAGTCAGGCTTGAAGTAGTTAGGGAAGGCCCGCATCGCGAGCTTGTAGAACACACATCCCTGATTGATGTTAAGGTCATAGCGGACCTCATTGTATCCCCAGTTCGTGAGGTTACGAGGGTTGTAATCGATCTAGACATATTAATAGCGATTCTTGTAGGCATGCTGGGTTGACTCACAGTATAGTACCTGTCACCACGGACGAGAGCCACGGCATCGGAAAGAACCGCGCGGGAGATAGTGTAGGTAGGTGCAATACCAACACCGGGGATCATGGGCTCCTTCGCTTCCTCGGCGACAATACCAGGGTAGAGCTCCACATAGTCTGGGTGCTCATACAGGTGTCGCAAAGCGTCAGCGACCTCCGGGTCAGAGTTGATGTCCTCGAACTTTTCGTATGGCTTAAGGTCGAAGAACTTGCGGAATTCGTTCAGAGAGCCGACGTTCCACTTGCGACCCTGCTCAATACCAAGGATTTCCACGGATTTCAGGACCTTGGGCACGTTCCGTGCACCGAAAGAGCCTGCAATGGTAAGTAAATTGGCTATTCTGTTTGTAAGAGTTACACTCACTGGCAACATCCTCAATCGCATTGGACAAAATTCTAACGAGGTCTTCGTCCTTGAATGTCCCATCTTCCTGTCGCTTCAGACCGGCAAATGTGCGCTTGGACGGGTCCTTCGGGATCTCTTGCTCGTATTTCTTAAGCCCGAAGAGAAGCTCACGCATGGAGACCTCCGAGGCAGGCTTGCCCATCAGCTCTTCGTAGATCTCTTCAGTCCACTTCTCATCGTTGGCACTAATAGCAGAATGCCAGCGGTATGCGAGGTTGAATTCGACAGAGCACTGGTTACCGAGACCCGACGGGGTACTCTTAGTGCCTTCCATCTGAACCCTAGGGTCCTGTTGCTGGTTAGCTTGCTCCTCGTTTCTTTACCATCTGTGTTCACTTACCAGGCACCATGTGCTGTTGCTGCGATTCAGGTTGACGATGGTGCGCAAATAATCGTACAGCGTGATGTTGATGAACAGGCCGCATGTGATCCTATGAAGCGTCAGGAATGCGTGCTTGCTGTACTGCAAGTTGGAAAATGACATACAGGCGTCCGGTCTGGAAAAGATCATTATCATACTTTTCCCAGGCCTTCTTAGCCCTCTCTTCGTCGAGACGAGGATCGGGCTTGTTGAAGCGACCGTTTTCATTAATCGCTGCCAGCTCCTCCACGACCCAGTTGTGGAATCTGTTTAGTGACCGGTTAGAAAGTTTTTAGCATGTCAGGAAGCGAATGCAATGCGAACCTGCTCAGCATAACCATCAACACGGAACAGGCCGGCGGGAAAGCCTGGAGCCGCTGTTCCGAAAAGGTATCGGGCTTCAGTTTGCCATCCTTGAAAGTCCGGACCAAGTTCTGGTCTTCCTGATCATCGCCGTACAGGATCGAGAGATCGAGATAGGCTGAAGTCTTGTTGACATGAGGGGTCGTGTAATCGGTCTGGAAAATGTCTATATTTCTGATTAGCGCTCTGCCGTGACGTTGGTAAAAAGAGCTAGCGAACCATGAATGACGAGGGACGCCCAATCGAAGAAAAGACTCGACACCTTGTTAGGGTGAGGGGTAAACTTCTCGCGCGCGAAAAGACAGTCAAAGACAAGACCGGCATCAGGTAAACCGCCGGGCTGGATAGTCAGGGGCGCGATTGAGCGAGCGTAAGGCGTCCCCGCGGCGCCTAGCCAGGGAAGCGTAGGGTTGTTGTTGGAGCCGTCTGCTGAGCGGTAGGCATATTCCTCTCCCATGTAGCTGCCGAGTATTAGCGCGAGCGCAGTTCTCGGGGAGAATATTAAGCCTCAACTTACGACAGTGGAGGGTGAGGCAAAGAACCCCACAGTTCGTCCAGAAAGGCGTTGGTGAGGTCGACGCGGGTTTTTGAGTTCC